TGGGCACAGGTGAGTGTTCCAAGGCAAAGTGCTTGGGTGCCAGCACCCAGAGGACCTTTGTCCCCTCCTGTCCCAGCCTATGTTCACCATATAAGGGCGGGAACAGCCCAGAGTCAAGGTCCCTACAGCCCTCCAAGGCTTCAGGACACCTGAAGAACCCCATTACTCATGTGGTGATTGTCCCCCAACAGGTGCTATCGCAGCACGGGGCAACCCCAGGCACCCTGCCCACAAGGTTGTTGTACCCGGAGTGGGACCTGCTGCCCTTCCCAGGCCTGCTCCTCTCTTGGCCTGTTGCACTGAACCCATGGTAATGGGGTTTTTGACACCTGCCTCCCACCAAAAAGTTCTCCGAATTTGTATCAATGGCCTGAACCAGGCCACAGGAGGCGTCACCCACAAACATGGAGGTGCCCTGACACCACAGATATGGACTCTGCCACTGCCCTTCACACCCCAGTCCCCCAAACCCTCCCAGCTATGGAGCACAAAGCCCACAGCAATGCATTTTTTTTGGTGCCTGCTTCCCAGAAAATATTCCCCAAAGTGACAGCAACAGGCTGATGCCACAGGGATAGGCAACGCTGCCGTCCTCCGCTGCCCCCTCCTGTGACGATGAGGATTTCGATGCCACTGGCTCAGGGCCCCCAGAGGCTCAGGGCCACCAGCAGCATCCTCCCAGGGCACCCCCTTCCCACCCAACACCTCCTTGTGTCCCACCCTCTGACCTGGCACGTCGCTTCTCTGCCCAGGGGACTGTCCCCAGCCTGGGCTATCCCACAGCTGGAGGGCAGATCCCAGCTCGTTACCTGATGGGCTTTGCCTCCCCATATTGGGGTTCCCTGCAGCCCCAGCCTTGGGGATGGGAAGGGGGTGCAGGGATGGGGTGTGGGGCTGAGGTTTGGGGACATGGAGCAGAGCGTAGGGCGGGGTGGCACAGCTAACCGTGTGCCCTGTCCCGTGCCCCCAAAACCCCAGCCCCAAGGGGTGGAACCCGATGATGCCCTTGGTGTTGGCAGAGAGAGGCCT